CGGCCTAATTACTGTTTATTACGTCTATCGTGTTTAATGTTAGACTGCTCGGCCTAATTACTGTTTATTACGTCTATCGTGTTTAATGTTAGACTGCTCGGCCTAATTACTGTTTATTACGTCTATCGTGTTTAATGTTAGACTGCTCGGCCTAATTACTGTTTATTACGTCTATCGTGTTTAATGTTAGACTGCTCGGCCTAATTACTGTTTATTACGTCTATCGTGTTTAATGTTAGACTGCTCGGCCTAATTACTGTTTATTACGTCTATCGTGTTTAATGTTAGACTGCTCGGCCTAATTACTGTTTATTACGTCTATCGTGTTTAATGTTAGACTGCTCGGCCTAATTACTGTTTATTACGTCTATCGTGTTTAATGTTAGACTGCTCGGCCTAATTACTGTTTATTACGTCTATCGTGTTTAATGTTAGACTGCTCGGCCTAATTACTGTTTATTACGTCTATCGTGTTTAATGTTAGACTGCTCGGCCTAATTACTGTTTATTACGTCTATCGTGTTTAATGTTAGACTGCTCGGCCTAATTACTGTTTATTACGTCTATCGTGTTTAATGTTAGACTGCTCGGCCTAATTACTGTTTATTACGTCTATCGTGTTTAATGTTAGACTGCTCGGCCTAATTACTGTTTATTACGTCTATCGTGTTTAATGTTAGACTGCTCGGCCTAATTACTGTTTATTACGTCTATCGTGTTTAATGTTAGACTGCTCGGCCTAATTACTGTTTATTACGTCTATCGTGTTTAATGTTAGACTGCTCGGCCTAATTACTGTTTATTACGTCTATCGTGTTTAATGTTAGACTGCTCGGCCTAATTACTGTTTATTACGTCTATCGTGTTTAATGTTAGACTGCTCGGCCTAATTACTGTTTATTACGTCTATCGTGTTTAATGTTAGACTGCTCGGCCTAATTACTGTTTATTACGTCTATCGTGTTTAATGTTAGACTGCTCGGCCTAATTACTGTTTATTACGTCTATCGTGTTTAATGTTAGACTGCTCGGCCTAATTACTGTTTATTACGTCTATCGTGTTTAATGTTAGACTGCTCGGCCTAATTACTGTTTATTACGTCTATCGTGTTTAATGTTAGACTGCTCGGCCTAATTACTGTTTATTACGTCTATCGTGTTTAATGTTAGACTGCTCGGCCTAATTACTGTTTATTACGTCTATCGTGTTTAATGTTAGACTGCTCGGCCTAATTACTGTTTATTACGTCTATCGTGTTTAATGTTAGACTGCTCGGCCTAATTACTGTTTATTACGTCTATCGTGTTTAATGTTAGACTGCTCGGCCTAATTACTGTTTATTACGTCTATCGTGTTTAATGTTAGACTGCTCGGCCTAATTACTGTTTATTACGTCTATCGTGTTTAATGTTAGACTGCTCGGCCTAATTACTGTTTATTACGTCTATCGTGTTTAATGTTAGACTGCTCGGCCTAATTACTGTTTATTACGTCTATCGTGTTTAATGTTAGACTGCTCGGCCTAATTACTGTTTATTACGTCTATCGTGTTTAATGTTAGACTGCTCGGCCTAATTACTGTTTATTACGTCTATCGTGTTTAATGTTAGACTGCTCGGCCTAATTACTGTTTATTACGTCTATCGTGTTTAATGTTAGACTGCTCGGCCTAATTACTGTTTATTACGTCTATCGTGTTTAATGTTAGACTGCTCGGCCTAATTACTGTTTATTACGTCTATCGTGTTTAATGTTAGACTGCTCGGCCTAATTACTGTTTATTACGTCTATCGTGTTTAATGTTAGACTGCTCGGCCTAATTACTGTTTATTACGTCTATCGTGTTTAATGTTAGACTGCTCGGCCTAATTACTGTTTATTACGTCTATCGTGTTTAATGTTAGACTGCTCGGCCTAATTACTGTTTATTACGTCTATCGTGTTTAATGTTAGACTGCTCGGCCTAATTACTGTTTATTACGTCTATCGTGTTTAATGTTAGACTGCTCGGCCTAATTACTGTTTATTACGTCTATCGTGTTTAATGTTAGACTGCTCGGCCTAATTACTGTTTATTACGTCTATCGTGTTTAATGTTAGACTGCTCGGCCTAATTACTGTTTATTACGTCTATCGTGTTTAATGTTAGACTGCTCGGCCTAATTACTGTTTATTACGTCTATCGTGTTTAATGTTAGACTGCTCGGCCTAATTACTGTTTATTACGTCTATCGTGTTTAATGTTAGACTGCTCGGCCTAATTACTGTTTATTACGTCTATCGTGTTTAATGTTAGACTGCTCGGCCTAATTACTGTTTATTACGTCTATCGTGTTTAATGTTAGACTGCTCGGCCTAATTACTGTTTATTACGTCTATCGTGTTTAATGTTAGACTGCTCGGCCTAATTACTGTTTATTACGTCTATCGTGTTTAATGTTAGACTGCTCGGCCTAATTACTGTTTATTACGTCTATCGTGTTTAATGTTAGACTGCTCGGCCTAATTACTGTTTATTACGTCTATCGTGTTTAATGTTAGACTGCTCGGCCTAATTACTGTTTATTACCTGTACCGTGTTTAATGTTAGACTGCTCGGCCTAAATACTGTTTATTACGTCTATCGTGTTTAATGTTAGACTGCTCGGCCTAATTACTGTTTATTACGTCTATCGTGTTTAATGTTAGACTGCTCGGCCTAATTACTGTTTATTACGTCTATCGTGTTCAATGTTAGACAGCTCGGCCTAATTACTGTTTATTACGTCTATCGTGTTTAATGTTAGGCGGATCGGCCTTATTACTGTTTATTACGTCTATCGTGTTTAATGTTAGACTGCTCTGCCTAATTACTGTTTATTACGTCTATCGTGTTTAATGTTAGACTGCTGGGCCTAATTACTGTTTATGACGTCTTAGTCCGAATTATTCTGACGTTTTATCGACTTTTTTTTTATATCTGTCCATCGTCGATTGACTTCAGAACTGATCCGGCCCTCCGTAAAATTCGGGAAATAAGCGACCCGTACCCGGTTCGCACTTCAAACTGATATTTTAGAAACAAATCGTCACTTTCACACACATGTCGCACATTGAAATCTCCTTTTGTCCGTCGTCGTCCGTCGTGCGTCCGTAAACAATTTACATTTTCAACTTCTTCTCCAAAACCAATTTCAATCAAATTTTGCAGAAACCTTTCATGGCCAAAGGACAACCAAACATGTGACTTATATGGTCACCAGTCCCCAGGGCAATTTATATTGGTTTATAATGGTGGCAAATGATACTTTGATTATTACAACTTGATTGGAATTATAATCCTGAGTTGACAGTTTGATACTTTGAAACGTTTGAGCCAGCTCTACCCCCAAGGGCTGTAGGGCGGGGCCCAAAGGAGTCAGTTCCTTGTTTAGAGTCAGAGGTGCTAGTCTGTATGCTAAATATTGAATAAGGTGGTTTTATTGTTTTTTGTCGCTTTGAATAATATTTCTGTTTATGTTTTAAAATTAAAAATAAACTCTCTGTATGAATATATCAGAACTCGGGTTACCGTTAAGGCCCATTGGCCTCTTGTTTTGTGAATGAATGTAAAACGGTTACATCCATTTTGCATTAAGCCAACCAGTGCTTGGCTTGCGTTTATACCAGCACAAGTGTTTAAAAACATGCTCCGTTCAATACATATATCTCATTTAACGTGTTATCATATTTATTATGTGATTTAATATATATTTCATATTGCGCTGTTAAAGACAACACCGCAACAACCTAACGTATCGTCGAAATGTTTGCCTCTTATGAAGATCTCGTGTTATGTTAGGCGGTAGGAGAAGCGTTAAAATTGAGTTTGTGGTCCAATGAATGCAGTTTCTTCTCGTTTGATCTATAAATAGACGTTCAATAGATAGATAAATATAGGCGGATATATGCTGGACGTAATTACTTCTTATATTAATAACCAACCAAAGAATAAAATATAGATCCCATCTTTTTGCTGTCAGGTTTGAATATAAAATATGTTATTTTTCAATATTGTATAACGTTTATAAAATATCTCTTTTACATTAAGTTTTGACAGAATAGTTGTAACAATTTACAAGAATTGATTGACGAGGAGCGCTACATGATGTATGGTGTAAATTTATCACGAGATAGACTACAGTTATATGATACTAGAGGTCATCGTACGGGTCAAAGGCCCTATTCAAATCACACGCAAATAATCATTACATTTACATATTTTTTTTATTTTTTTTTTATGGTTCATAAGAACTTAATCAAGAAATACGTGACGCTAAATTATGTTACATGGCTAATATTACCCGAAACTAGTTTTATTTTTATTTTTTATCGCGAACCGATGAATATTTCCTTTCCTTAAATGATGATGTTATGTTCGACATAGATCTTATAATGGTCGTTATGTAAATGAGTTTTAACATGAATATTTACCTCATTAGCGGGGACTTGGTGGTGATGCACTCCGGGTTAAGTTTAAACATTTGATAAACTAACACGGTGTACTATACGGCGGGACTGGATAACACGTGTGGAGCCTGTATACATTCCTCTCTCAGTAGACTTTAACGTGATGGGGATCTCTGACGACACCTACTCAAGGGTAAAACAAGACAGGGCAAAATTAGAAGATGTTGGTTCGAGATTATATTGAAGATCGAAGTCGGGGATACGTCCGGTAAAATGGAGGATAGGTCTGATAATGTTTGAGATATGTGTGAAACAGTTGGGGATAGTATGATTAAGTGTTGGATAGGTGTGATAAATGTGATAAAGTGTAGGATAGGTGTGATAAATGTGATAAAGTGTAGGATAGGTGTGATAAATGTGATAAAGTGTAGGATAGGTGTGATAAAGTGTAGGATAGGTATGATAAAGTGTAGGATAGGTGTGATAAAGTGTAGGATAGGTATGATAAAGTGTAGGATAGGTGTGATAAAGTATAGGATAGGTATGATAAAGTGTAGGATAGGTATGATAAAGGATAGGATAGGTGTGATAAAGTGTAGGATAGGTGTGATAAATGTGATAAAGTATAGGATAGGTATGATAAAGTGTAGGATAGGTGTGATAAATGTGGTAAAGTGTAGGATAGGTGTGATGAAGTGTAGGATAGGTGTGGTAAAGTGTAGGATAGTTATGATAAAGTGTAGGATAGGTGTGGTAAAGTGTAGGAGGTGTGATAAATGTGATAAAGTGTAGAATAGGAGTGATAAAGTTCGTAATAGGTCTGATACTGTTTGAGATATGTGTGATAAAGTTCGTAATAGGTCTGATAATATTTAAGATATGTGTGATAAAGTTCGTAATAGATAGGTGTGGTAAAGTGTAGGATAGGTATGATAAAGTGTAGGATAGGTGTGATAAAGTTTGTAATAGGTCTGATAATGTTTGACATAGATGTGAAACAGTTGGGGATAGTATGATAAAGTGTAGGATAGGTGTGATAAAGTGTAGGATAGGTGTGGTAAAGTGTAGGATAGGTGTGATAAATGTGATAAAGTGTAGGATAGGAGTGATAAAGTTCGTAATAGGTCTGATAATGTTTGACATAGATGTGAAAAGGTTGGGGATAGTATGATAAAGTGTAGGATAGGTGTGATAAAGTGTAGGATAGGTGTGGTAAAGTGTAGGAGGTGTGATAAATGTGATAAAGTGTAGGATAGGTGTGATAAAGTTCGTAATAGGTCTGATAATGTTTAACATGGATGTGAAACAGTTGGGGATAGTATGATAAAGTGTAGGATAGGTGTGATAAATGTGATAAAATGTAGGATAGGTGTGATAAAGTTCGGGATAGGTGTGATAAAGTTTGACAAAGATGTGAAATAGTTGGGGATAGTATGATAAAGTGTAGGATAGGTGTGATAAAGTTCGTAATAGGTCTGATAATGTTTGACATAGATGTGAAACAGTTGGGGATAGTATGATAAAGTGTAGGATAGGGGTGATAAAGTTCGTAATAGGTCTGATAATGTTTAACATGGATGTGAAACAGTTGGGGATAGTATGATAAAGTGTAGGATAGGGGTGATAAAGTTCGTAATAGGTCTGATAATGTTTGAGATATGTGTGATAAAGATCGTAATAGGTCTGATAATGTTTGAGATATGTGTGATAAAGATCGTAATAGGTCTGATAATGTTTGAGATATGTGTGATAAAGTTCGTAATAGGTCTGTAAATGTTTGAGATATGTGTGATAACGTTCGTAATAGGTCTGATAATGTTTGACATATTTGTGATAAAGTTCGTAATAGGTCTGATAATGTTTGAGATATGTGTGATAAAGTTCGTAATAGGTCTGATAATATTTAAGATATGTGTGATAAAGTTCGTAATAGGTCTGATAATGTTTGAGATATGCGTGATAAAGTTCGTAATAGGTCTGTTAATGTTTAAGATATGTGTGATAAAGTTCGTAATAGGTCTGTTAATGTTTGAGATATGTGTGATAAAGTTCGTAATAGGTCTGATAATGTTTGACATATGTGTGATAATGTTTCAGATATGTGTGATAAAGTTTGTAATAGGTCTGTTAATGTTTGAGATATGTGTGATAAAGTTCGTAATAGGTCTGTTAATGTTTGAGATATGTGTGATAATGTTCGTAATAGGTCTGTTAATGTTTGGGATATGTGTGATAAAGTTCGTAATAGGTCTGTTAATGTTTGACATATGTGTGATAATGTTTGAGATATGTGTGATAAAGTTCGTAATAGATAGGTGTGGTAAAGTTTAGGATAGGTGGGATAAATGTGATAAAGTGTAGTATAGGTATGATAAAGGTATGATCAAGTGTAGTATAGGTATGATAAAGGTATGATCAAGTGTAGGATAGGGGTGATAAAGTGTAGGAAAGGTGTGATAAAGTGTAGTATAGGTATGATAAAGTGGAGGATAGGTATGATAAAGGATAGGATAGGTATGATAAAGGATAGGATAGGTATGATAAAGGTATGATCAAGTGTAGTATAGGTGTTATAAAGTGTAGGATAAGGGTAGGATAGGTGTGGTAAAGTTTAGGATAGGTGAGATAAAGTGTAGGATAGATGTGATAAATGTGATAAAGTGTAGAATAGGTATGATAAAGGTATGATCAAGTGTAGTATAGGTGTTATAAAGTGTAGGATAAGTGTAGGGTAGGTGTGATAAAGTTCGTAATAGGTCTCTTAATGGTTGACATATGTGTGATAATGTTCGTAATAGGTCTGTTAATGTTTGACATATGTGTGATAATGTTTGAGATTTGTGTGATAAAGTTCGTAACAGGTCTGTTAATGTTTGACATAGATGTGAAAAGGTTGGGGATAGTATGATAACGTGTAGGATAGGGGCGATAAATGTGATAAAGTGTAGTATAGGTATGATAAAGTATAGGATAGGTATGATCAAGTGTAGGATAGGTGTGATAAAGTGTAGGATAAGTGTAGGATAGGTGTGATAAATGTGATAAAGTGTAGGATAGGTGTGGTAAAGTGTAGGATAGGTGTGATAAATGTCATAAAGTTTAGGATAGGTGTGATAAAGTGTAGGATAGGTGTGGTAAAGTGGAGGATAGGTATGATAAAGTGTAGGATAGGTGTGATAAATGTGATAAAGTGAAGGATAGGTGTGATAAAGTGTAGGATAGGTGTGATAAAGTGTAGTATAGGTGTGATAAAGTGTAGGATAGGTGTGATAAAGTGTAGGATAGGTATGATAAAGTGTAGGATAGGTGTGATAAAGTATAGGATAGGTGTGATAAATGTGATAAAGTGTAGAATAGGTATGATAAAGTGTAGGATAGGTGTGTTAAAGTGTAGCATAGGTATGATAAAATGTAGGATAGGTGTGATAAATGTGATAAAGTGTAGGATAGGTATGATAAAGTGTAGGATAGGTGTGATAAAGTGTAGGATAGGTGTGATAAAGTGTAGGATAGGTATGATAAAGTGTAGGATAGGTGTGATAAAGTGTAGGATAGGTGTGATAAAGTGTAGGATAGGTGTGATAAAGTGTAGGATAGGTGTGATAAAGTGTAGGATAGGTGTGATAAAGTGTAGGATAGGTGTGATAAAGTGTAGGATAGGTGTGATAAAGTGTAGGATAGGTGTGATAAAGTGTAGGATAGGTGTGATAAAGTGTAGGATAGGTGTGATAAAGTGTAGGATAGGTGTGATAAAGTGTAGGATAGGTGTGATAAAGTGTAGGATAGGTGTGATAAAGTGTAGGATAGGTGTGATAAAGTGTAGGATAGGTGTGATAAAGTGTAGGATAGGTGTGATAAAGTGTAGGATAGGTGTGATAAAGTGTAGGATAGGTGTGATAAAGTGTAGGATAGGTGTGATAAAGTGTAGGATAGGTGTGATAAAGTGTAGGATAGGTGTGATAAATTGTAGGATAGGTGTGATAAAGTGTAGGATAGGTGTGATAAAGTGTAGGATAGGTGTGATAAAGTGTAGGATAGGTGTGATAAAGTGTAGGATAGGTGTGATAAAGTGTAGGATAGGTGTGATAAAGTGTAGGATAGGTGTGATAAAGTGTAGGATAGGTGTGATAAAGTGTAGGATAGGTGTGATAAAGTGTAGGATAGGTGTGATAAAGTGTAGGATAGGTGTGATAAAGTGTAGGATAGGTGTGATAAAGTGTAGGATAGGTGTGATAAAGTGTAGGATAGGTGTGATAAAGTGTAGGATAGGTGTGATAAAGTGTAGGATAGGTGTGATAAAGTGTAGGATAGGTGTGATAAAGTGTAGGATAGGTGTGATAAAGTGTAGGATAGGTGTGATAAAGTGTAGGATAGGTGTGATAAAGTGTAGGATAGGTGTGATAAAGTGTAGGATAGGTGTGATAAAGTGTAGGATAGGTGTGATAAAGTGTAGGATAGGTGTGATAAAGTGTAGGATAGGTGTGATAAAGTGTAGGATAGGTGTGATAAAGTGTAGGATAGGTGTGATAAAGTGTAGGATAGGTGTGATAAAGTGTAGGATAGGTGTGATAAAGTGTAGGATAGGTGTGATAAAGTGTAGGATAGGTGTGATAAAGTGTAGGATAGGTGTGATAAAGTGTAGGATAGGTGTGATAAAGTGTAGGATAGGTGTGATAAAGTGTAGGATAGGTGTGATAAAGTGTAGGATAGGTGTGATAAAGTGTAGGATAGGTGTGATAAAGTGTAGGATAGGTGTGATAAAGTGTAGGATAGGTGTGATAAAGTGTAGGATAGGTGTGATAAAGTGTAGGATAGGTGTGATAAAGTGTAGGATAGGTGTGATAAAGTGTAGGATAGGTGTGATAAAGTGTAGGATAGGTGTGATAAAGTGTAGGATAGGTGTGATAAAGTGTAGGATAGGTGTGATAAAGTGTAGGATAGGTGTGATAAAGTGTAGGATAGGTGTGATAAAGTGTAGGATAGGTGTGATAAAGTGTAGGATAGGTGTGATAAAGTGTAGGATAGGTGTGATAAAGTGTAGGATAGGTGTGATAAAGTGTAGGATAGGTGTGATAAAGTGTAGGATAGGTGTGATAAAGTGTAGGATAGGTGTGATAAAGTGTAGGATAGGTGTGATAAAGTGTAGGATAGGTGTGATAAAGTGTAGGATAGGTGTGATAAAGTGTAGGATAGGTGTGATAAAGTGTAGGATAGGTGTGATAAAGTGTAGGATAGGTGTGATAAAGTGTAGGATAGGTGTGATAAAGTGTAGGATAGGTGTGATAAAGTGTAGGATAGGTGTGATAAAGTGTAGGATAGGTGTGATAAAGTGTAGGATAGGTGTGATAAAGTGTAGGATAGGTGTGATAAAGTGTAGGATAGGTGTGATAAAGTGTAGGATAGGTGTGATAAAGTGTAGGATAGGTGTGATAAAGTGTAGGATAGGTGTGATAAAGTGTAGGATAGGTGTGATAAAGTGTAGGATAGGTGTGATAAAGTGTAGGATAGGTGTGATAAAGTGTAGGATAGGTGTGATAAAGTGTAGGATAGGTGTGATAAAGTGTAGGATAGGTGTGATAAAGTGTAGGATAGGTGTGATAAAGTGTAGGATAGGTGTGATAAAGTGTAGGATAGGTGTGATAAAGTGTAGGATAGGTGTGATAAAGTGTAGGATAGGTGTGATAAAGTGTAGGATAGGTGTGATAAAGTGTAGGATAGGTGTGATAAAGTGTAGGATAGGTGTGATAAAGGTGATAAAGTGTAGGATAGGTATGATAAAGTGTAGGATAGGTGTGATAAAGTGTAGGATAGGTGTGATAAAGTGTAGGATAGGTGTGATAAAGTGTAGGATAGGTGTGATAAATGTGATAAAGTGTAGGATAGGTGTGATAAATTTGATAAAGTGTAGGATAGGTGTGATAAAGTGTAGGATATGTGTGATAAATGTGATAAAGTGTAGGATAGGTATGATAAAGTGTCGGATAGGTGTGATAAATGTGATAAAGTGTAGGATAGGTACGATAAAGCGTAGGATAGGTGTGATAAAGTATAGGATAGGTATGATAAAGTGTCGGATAGGTGTGATAAATATGATAAAGTGTTGGATAGGTATGATAAAGTGTCAGATAGGTGTGATAAATTTGATCAAGTGTAGGATAGGTGTGATAAATATGATAAAGTGTTGGATAGGTATGATAAAGTGTAGGCTAGGTGTGATAAATGTGATAAAGTGTAGGATAGGTATGATAAAACGTAGGATAGGTGTGATAAAGTGTAGGATATGTGTGATAAAGTGTAAGATAGGTGTGATAAAGTTTAGGATAGGTGTGATAAAGTGTGATGAACGTGCGATGAATCGGGATATATGTGTGATAAAGTTCGTAATAGGTCTGATAATGTTTGAGATATGTGTGAAACAGTTGGGGATAGTATGATTGGGTGTTGGATAGGTGTGATAAATGTGATAAAGTGTAGGATAGGTGTGATAAAGTGTGATGAACGTGCGATGAATCGGGATTACCACTTTAGAACAACAGAACACAGCGTGATGTACACATCACTGAATAGGTTTTAGATCATTTAGACAGTCCGACTTTAAAGATACCGCCATTGGATCCAACTTTTATGGACAATATTGCTGGATGAAATCAACTGTAGGCTAGACTATGTTTGCTGATGAAATAATCATTCTAAATAGACATGGCCACAGATCAAAACAAATTTTGCCACAGTGAGACCGAAGAAAGGGGAAAGCCCTACAACTTTTTTCAAAGAGAATTACTGGCGAAATGTTTTTACTATACAGTAAATCAGAACACCATCAATGCATCAGATATTTGAGTGCAGTATTGTCGTCTGATAGAGTGGGTGTTTGTTAAATCCAAATAGAAATTAAAAAAATAATTAATTCAGTAGTATCAAAAATTATTGTATCCAAATATTTTGACTTGCGTTAACACTTCTTCATGCCATAAATGCCACCGACCGCGTTAAATATATGTAGAAGTATATTAAAAAGATAAATATCTTTCATGTTGTATGACACGCGTCAAGATCAATGGTCCCCTGAATACTGGTAGTGTGTTCACTCTCATCTGCATAATCGGGTTTTTTACCACACGTCTGAAATCATCTCAAGGTTAGGTAAAACTAAACACAGTAGGAGAATGAAGTGCAATGGTAAGACTATGAGAACCTGGTATCTGATTGAGATGTAAAAGCGCTTATAAAGGTACGAACTGCAGCTTTGATGGTAGAAATTGCTTTTGAATTAAAAACCGAATTGCTAGCTTTAACAAGGTTAGTGTATACGGGGTTGTCAGCTCTAACAAGGTAAGTGTATACGGGGATGTCAGCTCTAACAAGGTTAGTGTATACGGGGATGTCAGCTTTAACAAGGTTAGTGTATATGGGGATGTCAGCTCTAACAAGGTTAGTGTATACGGGGATGTCAGCTCTAACAAGGTTAGTGTATACAGGGATGTCAGCTTTAACAAGGTTAGTGTATACGGGGATGTCAGCTCTCTAACAAGGTTAGTGTATACGGGGATATCAGCTCTAACAAGGTCCTTTTGAACATTGCATATATAGTATTTATTGGTACTTTCGATCTTTTACAGAATCAAGGGATTAAAACGCCGGCGTCAGCGCCGTCTGTAGGAGAAGAGGAATACTCCCCACCGACCCCTCCACGGACGCCGAACCATTCAGTCTCGGCACCCTACCAACAGGTAGTATGACCAGCATGTACCTTAATTACAAATAGGGCCATTATCTTTATTTATCTTTTCCAAATAATCAACAACTACATGTATCTACCTTTAGTATCCAACAATACTAATGTGACGTCATACTGTTGTGAGAAATATAAATATTGTATTATATACATCTTGAAATATAACGGCAAGCAGAATCAAACGAAACAGACTAATATACAATTTGCATAGTTACAAATATTACCCAACATTCCCCTTTCTTTCTATAGTTTCAGCACAACATACCGGATTCTCGGGTTGGTGTCAGTATGCGTTTATCTCCATTGACGGTTAGGACAGACCTGGCGTCACGTGATGACCAGCTAGCGACCCCTACGCTTTCCTGTGTGCACTCTGACCCGTGTTCTCTGACGTCACCACGACATACTCTGTTCCGGGACGACATGGACAGTATGTTAAAAACCAAACACGCCATGGAGCGATACCTGTACGAGACTATAGAGCGCCAGCAGATGATTCACTCAGGTAAGACTGCAACATTCTTACCAAGCCACAAGCACAACACGTAAACCTAAATTTTCGTCCTTAATTGATAAACATTAGTATGGTTTATACAAATACATTAATATTACATAGATAAGATAGTAGGCTAGCTGAAATGGTTACTTTTGATTAATTGTCGTATGTGATCACTATCCTATTGGTTAATTGTCGTATGTGAGCACTATCCTATTGGTTAATTGTCGTATTTGATCACTATCCTATTGGTTAATTGTCGTATGTGATCACTATCCTATTGGTTAATTGTCGTATGTGAGCACTATCCTATTGGTTAATTATCGTATTTGATTACTATCCTATTGGTTAATTGTCGTATGTGATCACTATCCAATTGGTTAATTGTCGTATGTGATCACTGTCCTATTGGTTAATTGTCGTATTTGATCACTATCTTATTGGTTAATTGTCGTATGTGACTCTATCCTACTGGTTAATTGTCGTATGTGATCCCTATCCTATTGGTTATTGTCGTATGTGATCACTATCCAGTTGGTTAATTGTCGTATGTGATCCCTATCCTATTGGTTATTGTCGTATGTGATCATTATCCAATTGGTTAATTGTCGTATGTGATAACTATCCTCTTGGTTAATTGTCGTATGTGACTCTATCCTACTGGTTATTTGTCGTATGTGATCACTATCCTATTGGTTAATTGTCGTATGTGACTCTATCCTACTGGTTAATTGTCGTATGTGATCACTATCCTTTTTTTTTTTAGTAAAAACCGCTTATGCTGACACTAAACTGAAGCCATTCCCACTGAAAGATCCGCCAAAGTCAAAATTCAAACGTCAGATCTCTACAGAGTCGAATGATCCGGGCGACATCAAGATGGGGATTAAGAGTCCCGTGAAAAGGCTCCAGACGTATGACGAGCCGGATTACACTGCCAAGATGGGTTTACAGAACAGAGGCAGGTCTACTGGAACCATGAGTCAGCATACAGACGCCCCTTGTAGTGATGCTGATAATAAAAAGGATGGACCTGCTAGCCAACACCCATATGCAATGAATGTAAAATGGATATACAGTGAAACTGACCCATCACCTAAAAAGGAAGAAGACTTTACAGAAATATCTGTGGTAGAAGAAATGTCTAAACGCAACAATGAGAGTAAAGAAAGGTCTGACTTGTCGTTCGGCCAAAGAGGCCATGACACTGTACGACCGACTGTGACGAATGATAATATAGGTCGAGTCCCCAACACAGCAGGTTTCCGTAGTAACGAACTGAACAGTGGAATAGGTCGTAACAATGAAATGGAAAACGTTCAGTCTGAGATTAACAAGTACCGGACTGAGGTAGATAATATAAGGACATCGATTGAGTTCAGTAATGAGAAGGATCGTCTCAGCGTTTCGGCAAGTCCACGGAAGACAGCAGAAGTGAGCAAGGGGATACGCCGCGGATGTGATATGAACACCTCTGATACGGTAAGACTAGCCGACTACAATAAACAGAAAATCGGTGAAGATTTACAAATGATGATGTCTAACCTCCGAAACCGCGATGGTCGTACCACTAGTACCGCCACGACAGAAGTGTCTCACGTCACCCCCAAGGGATTTGTCTTCCCGCCCAAAGCAAACATTCAGGACCCCGTGCCGATGAGTCCGAGGATAGTTTGCACGTCCATTCGCCCGCCATTCTCCGCCGCCGGCGACGCTACTTCACGCACTGTCTCTACACAAAGAAATGCCCCAATGACGTCACAAAGGCCTGTGTCTGTTACTTCAACACGTACTGCATGTTTAAGCAGACAAATGATGCCTTCTCCTACATCAAAAGAGCAGACGATGTACGGAAGAGACAACTCCCATTACCAAAGAGACGTCCCTAGTGGTCAGAGGCGTCGGTTCTTCCACAGCCTGAGTGATACAGATCATTCCCCGTCCAAACATGACATAGAACAATTTAAGTGCCTTGACAGAACTATTTCTGATCCCTCGTGTTTCCCACCGTCCAAAAAGAACATGTTGACAGAGGATATAATTCGAATTGAAACCAAATACCTGGGGGCGGGAAGCCAGTATGATGACGAGGACATGTCCCGGTCCTATAGTGACGAGGGCAGGCAGTACACGTCACCACAGTACCCTCAGGCTGAGAGGCAACCAGGGGGGTCTGCCTACTACGGGTCGGATTCAGCCAGACGACAGCTGTTCTCAGAGGCCAGCAGTGTACAAACGCAATACAAACGTAAGGGCTCACTTTTCCTTTTATGTGATATTGATCGTGGATAATGTAAAATAACGTGGTCAGTAATGTATAGGAGTTCCTTCAAGTTTTATATATGATAGAAGCTCCCTTTCGAATAATCTACATCTGCAGTCGGCTTTGGATTATTTTGTTTGCCATTCATATCACTGGTTGTAGATAGACTCCATGGCTGTTCAATGTTGTTCTCCTTGTTTCTGATGGCATTTGTGATTATATGTATAGCAGAATACTTTTACAAAACAAGGTTATGGTAGAGATAACTTCATAAATCACAAGAATGACCAAATACGTATGTTATCACGAGTGTGAATGTCAGTGAATACTATCGGTATATTTTGCCACGCGAGTAACATGCTTACAAAACAGATGTTTATCGACTGTGAAGTTCAGAAAATTAGCAAACTTTGTGTATAGTATACTGTTACTTAATCTACATTATAACAGTGAGGTTTGAATGCAGTGAATATGAATTACTGCTCCTATTGGTCAATTTGTAATCGAGAGTTTTTTTTTGAATGCAGTGAATATGAACTATTGCTCTTATTGGTCAATATGAAATCGAGTTTTTTTTTAACGCAATGAATATGAATTACTGATCTTATTGGTCAATATGAAATCGAGAGGGTTTTGAATGCAGTGAATAGAAATTACTGATCTTATTGGTCAAGGTCAATTAGAAATCGAGAGGGTAAATGCAGTGAATATGAATTACTGTTCTTATTGGTCAATATAAAATCGAGAGGGTAAAGGCAGCGAATAGGAATTACTGTTCTTACTGGTCAATATAAAACCGTATCTTTTACTGCGTGATCTTGTTTTTATTATAGACAGGTGTAAATAACAAACGATCTAATACGAGAACTGTATTTTTTTTTTTATCTCAGTTTAAGTAAGTTAGAACTACAATTAAATTACCTTTATTTTCTGCCCTACATGTATCTGTGTAAGCAAAATTTGTCCACAAAGTTGGCAGTTTTTTCTCAGCAGTTATTACATTTACTACCATTTCAAAATGGTGTTGCTTGAGAATTGATTGAAAAATGATGGTGGTTTGGTATGTTACCTACCGACTTTGTAGTGTCATAAGACATTTACTAGTGCCATGGAATAGTACTTTATAAAAGTCTTAATGGTATTTGGTAACATAACAGTTTGAAATGGTATTTGTGGTCAGTTGTTTTGTATTTTTTCCATTTTGTTTTTCATTCTCTCGAAAATCGCAGATGAGCTTTTGTTCAGCTCACAAGTGAAAAATGTACATGTCTTCTCATCATAAGTGCGATACAACTTTTGTTTATAATTATGCATGTGCTACAGATCGCGTGCCTAGAGACACGACAGACAGAATACCGGACGAGATGGCGTCCTACCTCATCAAGTCTAAGTTCTGCACAGCTGATGACATCATTAGTTTCAATGAAAAAGAGAAGCAATGTCCTAGGGAGACGCAAGACTACCGGCTGCCTAGGGAATGGATCATGGCCAGACACGTGGCTGGGAATTACCGTCTACAGGAGGAATATAGTGTCCGTCCACAGGAAGAGTATAGTGTCCGTCCGCAGGAGGAATATAGCGTCCGTCCACAGGAGGAGTATAGCGTCCGTCTACAGGAGGAATATAGCGTCCGTCCACAGGAGGAGTATAGTGTCCGTCCGCAGGAGGAGTATAGCTCCAGACTCCAACTACCTCCACCGCAAGTGGCCTACCAGGGACCTTCCCCGCCACAAAGGAAACGCAATCGAGGTAAGACTGTTTTCGACCTGTGTATAGGGTCGACCTCACTAGCCAAAATGATGTATCTTTAACCCTGTATGATAGGAAACCTTTTCTGTAGTTGACAGTCTCAGTTCTGCAGTTATTTTTATTATATGGGTACAGTTAACTTTCAATAATGCCCCCTTTTTTATAGGAAAAAAACTTGAATTTGTCAAATGCTTATTTAGCATTAAACACTTTATTCAATAACATTTCCTTTATGCTAAAGTTATTTGCCGGTTAGTCAGACATCATATTTATCAAGTGATTAGTCATCATATCATTACTGTGTTAAATCTATACACATTTAATACAATATGATAGGTGAGGTGGATATCCGTATGGTGTGCGAGGACTTCCGGTTGTCAGATAACGCCAAACAGCATCAAGAGAACTTCCGTCTTGCTGATGAGCCTACCAGGAACTGCAAGTGTGCTAACGTTGAAAACGAGATTCTCGACATGGCACATGACGCGTTCCAGAAAATTCGACGGAAAGATGATTCCAATGAAGCCATGGAGCAGTTCGGAAAGGAGGTTCTGGAAACAAAATCTAAGATCAACGAGGCTTTGGACATATTACGTGGTGTTAAAGCGATATGTAAACATGACCGAGACATCGTAGACATGTTTAGCGGGAGTGTTGTATTCAGAGTGCGATGCCCAACCGTTTTTGCACTTAACGACCTCTGGGACTCTTATCAGTCAGGAGATTTAGCAACTACTTTGAATAGACATTTCATTACGGATACCCTCAGATCGAAGTATTTAGACATGGATATAGGTTTAGTGGTGACTATATCCGAGGACCAGTACCGACGGGCGTGGCGAGAGCTGGGTATGTACGTAGTGTATAGTGGTGAACCGCCACCACACTTTGTACACGTCTCTTAGTAACTAAGGTCGACTTTTAACTTCTTTCAGTATTGAAAAAGACAAATTTCGATACTTTATCTGCTTAATTAAATCTTTTTAAGCCTTTCATTACTGTCTTGCATATCCTTTGAAGTTTTCCGTCTGGGTCATAGTGAAAGAACACTTATTCAAACCAGCCACTGGCATGCTTTAATAATTATCTATTTTTTCTTTATTTTGCTTAATGCACCAATAAACAATTGCCAAAAGAGGTTAAAATAGAGACAAACATAATATAAAGTGTATACATATCAAGTAAGTGTGTGTCGGGGCGACCTGTGTTATTATATTAATATGGTACATAACTCAGTTTAGTATACTTTACAATTGACAGGTACCATTATGTCCCCTGGCCGATTGGATAGCTCTTTGTCAAAGAGTGATACAGAAATAGCAAGTATCACAGGGGATTCTCTAAAGGTAAATACATACCAGTACCCGGTGAAACATTGGCCGAGTCAAATATTTTTTCTCTACCGGTTAAATCAATATTTGCTGATGCGGCCCTTCACAAGTAATTACGATGTATGGTGTGTTGTGTACTGGTACTTGCTGACACGAACAATAAGAGGAGGGCAAAGCAGGCAACAGTTAAACAGCGTGATAAGATGCCCGATAGGCAGTATTCTATGTAGGTCAGACCACTCTATATAACATACAAATGGCACATGTAACGATAGGCAGTATTCTATGTAGGTCAGACCCATCTAGATAACATACAAATGTCACATGTAACGATAGGCAGTATTCTATGTAGGTCAGACCCATCTAGATAACATACAAATGTCACATGTAACGATAGGCAGTATTCTATGTAGGTCAGACCACTCTAGATAACATACAAATGTCACATGTAACGATAGGCAGTATTCTATGTAGGTCAGACCACTCTAGATAACATACAAATGTCACATGTAACGATAGGCAGTATTCTATGTAGGTCAGACCACTCTAGATAACATACAAATGTCACATGTAACGATAGGCAGTATTCTATGTAGGTCAGACCACTCTAGATAACATACAAATGTCACATGTAACGATAGGCAGTATTCTATGTAGGTCAGACCACTCTAGATAACATACAAATGTCACATGTAACGATAGGCAGTATTCTATGTAGGTCAGACCACTCTAGATAACATACAAATGTCACATGTAACGATAGGCAGTATTCTATGTAGGTCAGACCACTCTAGATAACATACAAATGTCACATGTAACGATAGGCAGTATTCTATGTAGGTCAGACCACTCTAGATAACATACAAATGTCACATGTAACGATAGGCAGTATTCTATGTAGGTCAGACCACTCTAGATAACATACAAATGTCACATGTAACGATAGGCAGTATTCTATGTAGGTCAGACCACTCTAGATAACATACAAATGTCACATGTAACGATAGGCAGTATTCTATGTAGGTCAGACCACTCTAGATAACATACAAATGTCACATGTAACGATAGGCAGTATTCTATGTAGGTCAGACCACTCTAGATAACATACAAATGTCACATGTAACGATAGGCAGTATTCTATGTAGGTCAGACCACTCTAGATAACATACAAATGTCACATGTAACGATAGGCAGTATTCTATGTAGGTCAGACCACTCTAGATAACATACAAATGTCACATGTAACGATAGGCAGTATTCTATGTAGGTCAGACCACTCTAGATAACATACAAATGTCACATGTAACGATAGGCAGTATTCTATGTAGGTCAGACCACTCTAGATAACATACAAATGTCACATGTAACGATAGGCAGTATTCTATGTAGGTCAGACCACTCTAGATAACATACAAATGTCACATGTAACGATAGGCAGTATTCTATGTAGGTCAGACCACTCTAGATAACATACAAATGTCACATGTAACGATAGGCAGTATTCTATGTAGGTCAGACCACTCTAGATAACATACAAATGTCACATGTAACGATAGGCAGTATTCTATGTAGGTCAGACCACTCTAGATAACATACAAATGTCACATGTAACGATAGGCAGTATTCTATGTAGGTCAGACCACTCTAGATAACATACAAATGTCACATGTAACGATAGGCAGTATTCTATGTAGGTCAGACCACTCTAGATAACATACAAATGTCACATGTAACGATAGGCAGTATTCTATGTAGGTCAGACCACTCTAGATAACATACAAATGTCACATGTAACGATAGGCAGTATTCTATGTAGGTCAGACCACTCTAGATAACATACAAATGTCACATGTAACGATAGGCAGTATTCTATGTAGGTCAGACCACTCTAGATAACATACAAATGTCACATGTAACGATAGGCAGTATTCTATGTAGGTCAGACCACTCTAGATAACATACAAATGTCACATGTAACGATAGGCAGTATTCTATGTAGGTCAGACCACTCTAGATAACATACAAATGTCACATGTAACGATAGGCAGTATTCTATGTAGGTCAGACCACTCTAGATAACATACAAATGTCACATGTAACGATAGGCAGTATTCTATGTAGGTCAGACCACTCTAGATAACATACAAATGTCACATGTAACGATAGGCAGTATTCTATGTAGGTCAGACCACTCTAGATAACATACAAATGTCACATGTAACGATAGGCAGTATTCTATGTAGGTCAGACCACTCTAGATAACATACAAATGTCACATGTAACGATAGGCAGTATTCTATGTAGGTCAGACCACTCTAGATAACATACAAATGTCACATGTAACGATAGGCAGTATTCTATGTAGGTCAGACCACTCTAGATAACATACAAATGTCACATGTAACGATAGGCAGTATTCTATGTAGGTCAGACCACTCTAGATAACATACAAATGTCACATGTAACGATAGGCAGTATTCTATGTAGGTCAGACCACTCTAGATAACATACAAATGTCACATGTAACGATAGGCAGTATTCTATGTAGGTCAGACCACTCTAGATAACATACAAATGTCACATGTAACGATAGGCAGTATTCTATGTAGGTCAGACCACTCTAGATAACATACAAATGTCACATGTAACGATAGGCAGTATTCTATGTAGGTCAGACCACTCTAGATAACATACAAATGTCACATGTAACGATAGGCAGTATTCTATGTAGGTCAGACCACTCTAGATAACATACAAATGTCACATGTAACGATAGGCAGTATTCTATGTAGGTCAGACCACTCTAGATAACATACAAATGTCACATGTAACGATAGGCAGTATTCTATGTAGGTCAGACCACTCTAGATAACATACAAATGTCACATGTAACGATAGGCAGTATTCTATGTAGGTCAGACCACTCTAGATAACATACAAATGTCACATGTAACGATAGGCAGTATTCTATGTAGGTCAGACCACTCTAGATAACATACAAATGTCACATGTAACGATAGGCAGTATTCTATGTAGGTCAGACCACTCTAGATAACATACAAATGTCACATGTAACGATAGGCAGTATTCTATGTAGGTCAGACCACTCTAGATAACATACAAATGTCACATGTAACGATAGGCAGTATTCTATGTAGGTCAGACCACTCTAGATAACATACAAATGTCACATGTAACGATAGGCAGTATTCTATGTAGGTCAGACCCATCTAGATAACATACAAATGTCACATGTAACGATATGCAGTATTCTATGTAGGTCAGACCACTCTAGATAACATACAAATGTCACATGTAACGATAGGCAGTATTCTATGTACGTAAGACAACTCTATATGCATACATAACTTTCCATTCAATTTGTTACCTAGATCATATACACGTTTTAAGTTTAAACACGATTCATTACAAACACAAGATACGAACACAGTAAAGTCTATTTCATCGACTGGCAAAGATCAAACCACGATAAATAAATATACAGCGTGGTGGTTTTTGTTTCACACAGAACACGAACATTCGATTTTCCAGAATCACACAAGGACCAATTAAGGTTTAAATGTCGTTTAAACCTGAGTGCATCACACATTTTTATCATTATTGGGTGGAATACAATAAAATCCATCAATTTTGATATATTTTTGTAGGAAAACGTTGATTGTACCAAGGTGGTGACGTCAGCTTCCCGTCTTCGCGTCATCCACAGTCGGTGCCAGTCTGCCCCAGTAACACACTCACCATCCCCAACCTCAAGTCCGTCATGGCTCCCCAAGTCTCCCATGTCACCGCTAGGGGGCGACCGGAAGTTTACATTTCCTGGTGAACCTTCATCACGGCGTTTATTTCAAGAACGGTAAGAAGACGATATGCATCAGTATACATATATAATTTGTCATTTTGTAAAGTTCACAAAAAGTGATATAATGACATCTCTTAATTTTTAAGTTTATAAACACTATATGATGAGTCAGTTAATGAAGCAAGGTTTATATGTGGTGTTGATATTGATACCTAACAGTGACGATGGAATCATTCATTTTACAGTACTAAAGGATCCTGCTCCCCCACCATGAAGAAGCTATTTGACTTCGAACTGAGTCTATCCCCAAAAACATCGCCAAAACGAAAAACATTTGCAGAGGGCTTTCCACGGGAAAATATCTTACCGGAGGTACACTCCCCTAAACGGAAGAATGTTGGAACAAGCTTCCCTTTCAAAGACAAAAGTAACGACGTCGACACGTAACGCAACATAACCAACAGATTAGCTAAGTGTCGATCTCTGAGTGATCTAATTTGTTGAAATTAGTGACTACATTCAGTCATGTTCTGCTTTGAAGTGTCCGTCAATGTAACGGAATATCTAAACTTACTTGACATGGACATTTTGAGTAAATGAGTTAATGCATGTGACCATGCTAGGTCTGGGTGACCATGCTAGTCTGGGTGACCATGCTAGGTCTGAAACTGAAGTATTATCATTGTGCTATGTGCTTCGCAATCATACCTTGTACTTGTTCACTTCAAACTTATAATTGTTTTTTCCCTATTACACAAACATTTAACAGAGTCTCCTAACTAAACACTACTCGCGGGTAGCTTTCGGTGACCTCTGATTGTCTTTGAGATCAGCCGGAGGCTTCAGACAAGTCTAATGAGTCAGTCCTGTGACCTGTAGTTTTCTCTCTGGATCATATACCTTTTCAGACTGAACTTAAGGGGATATTCTTAGATGTTGCGTTACCCTTTATAGGTAATATGTTTATATATGTAAAAACAATATGTATTTATATGTATGTATGACGTATGACAGCTATCAAATAAGACGTTAACTGATCGCGGTTGGAAGTGTTCACGTTGGCAATGCTTTTGAAATGTTTATATTCGATGTATCTTTAATCTATATAATCCATAAACATTGTTTGGGATATTTTCGAACTAATTGACTGGAAGCGACAAACGCAAATACTTCCACACCGCGCAAATATTCTCTTTACTGAATTTTGTTTTCCAATTTGTTACGGAGAAGACATGTTTCATTGTATTTATATATACACAATAAGTAATTAATTTTCTCATTTATATTATTTACTTTACTTTTACTTAAAGAGTGATTATTGAATATTGCCGCTCAAATCTCGATATGTTTGAGAACGTATATAATAAATAAGTACAGTCTTAAGTTATAAATTTGAATTTAGTGATAGAGTCATTAAATATGGTCTGACGGTTTCACTTTGTTGACAGGCATAAGGATGTAGTTACATGAATGTACTTGATTCTAAAGTTTGTTCAAAATAGAAATATATATTAGTCCAGATAGTGTACACATTCTGATGGAAAGTTCCAGAGATGTTTCCAAATCTTCAGTTTCAGACTGTACAGCAAGTTTAAATTCGTTTTGAAAGCAATTTTTAACAATAAAGATGTTGACTAGAACTGGTGAGATTTGGATACTATGAATGACAATATACTTGGTCGTCTATTGTAAGCTTTGGAGACATTCCCAATGTCCCGTCGGTAAAGTTGGGTTTACATCAGGTCATTCCCAATGTCCCGTCGGTAAAGTTGGGTTTACATCAGGCCATTCCCAATGTCCCGTTGGTAAAGTTGGGTTTACATCCGGCCATTCCCAATGTCCCGTTGATTTACATAGTTTGACATCAGGCCATTTCCAATGCCCCGTTGGTAAAGTTGGGTTTACATCAGGCCATTCCCAATGTCCCGTTGATTTACATAGTTTGACATCAGGCCATTCCCAATGCCCCGTTGGTAAAGTTGGGTTTACATCAGGCCAATTCCCAATGCCCCGTTGGCTTACTTAATTTGACATCAGGCCATTCCCAATGCCCCGTTGGTTTACTTAGTTTGACATCAGGCCATTCCCAATGTCCCGTTGATTTACTTAATTTGACATCAGGCCATTCCCAATGCCCCGTTGGTTTACTTAGTTTGACATCAGGCCATTCCCAATGTCCCGTTGGTTTACTTAGTTTGACATCAGGCCATTCCCAATGCCCCGTTGGTTTACTTAGTTTGACATCAGGCCATTCCCAATGCCCCGTTGGTTTACTTAGTTTGACATCAGGCCATTCCCAATGCCCCGTTGGTTTACTTAGTTTGACATCAGGCCATTCCCAATGCCCCGTTGGTTTACTTAGTTTGACATCAGGCCATTCCCAATGCCCCGTTGGTTTACTTAGTTTGACATCAGGCCATTCCCAATGCCCCGTTGGTTTACTTAGTTTGACATCAGGCCATTCCCAATGCCCCGTTGGTTTACTTAGTTTGACATCAGGCCATTCCCAATGCCCCGTTGGTTTACTTAGTTTGACATCAGGCCATTCCCAATGCCCCGTTGGTTTACTTAGTTTGACATCAGGCCATTCCCAATGCCCCGTTGGTTTACTTAGTTTGACATCAGGCCATTCCCAATGCCCCGTTGGTTTACTTAGTTTGACATCAGGCCATTCCCAATGCCCCGTTGGTTTACTTAGTTTGACATCAGGCCATTCCCAATGCCCCGTTGGTTTACTTAGTTTGACATCAGGCCATTCCCAATGCCCCGTTGGTTTACTTAGTTTGACATCAGGCCATTCCCAATGCCCCGTTGGTTTACTTAGTTTGACATCAGGCCATTCCCAATGCCCCGTTGGTTTACTTAGTTTGACATCAGGCCATTCCCAATGCCCCGTTGGTTTACTTAGTTTGACATCAGGCCATTCCCAATGCCCCGTTGGTTTACTTAGTTTGACATCAGGCCATTCCCAATGCCCCGTTGGTTTACTTAGTTTGACATCAGGCCATTCCCAATGCCCCGTTGGTTTACTTAGTTTGACATCAGGCCATTCCCAATGCCCCGTTGGTTTACTTAGTTTGACATCAGGCCATTCCCAATGCCCCGTTGGTTTACTTAGTTTGACATCAGGCCATTCCCAATGCCCCGTTGGTTTACTTAGTTTGACATCAGGCCATTCCCAATGCCCCGTTGGTTTACTTAGTTTGACATCAGGCCATTCCCAATGCCCCGTTGGTTTACTTAGTTTGACATCAGGCCATTCCCAATGCCCCGTTGGTTTACTTAGTTTGACATCAGGCCATTCCCAATGCCCCGTTGGTTTACTTAGTTTGACATCAGGCCATTCCCAATGCCCCGTTGGTTTACTTAGTTTGACATCAGGCCATTCCCAATGCCCCGTTGGTTTACTTAGTTTGACATCAGGCCATTCCCAATGCCCCGTTGGTTTACTTAGTTTGACATCAGGCCATTCCCAATGCCCCGTTGGTTTACTTAGTTTGACATCAGGCCATTCCCAATGCCCCGTTGGTTTACTTAGTTTGACATCAGGCCATTCCCAATGCCCCGTTGGTTTACTTAGTTTGACATCAGGCCATTCCCAATGCCCCGTTGGTTTACTTAGTTTGACATCAGGCCATTCCCAATGCCCCGTTGGTTTACTTAGTTTGACATCAGGCCATTCCCAATGCCCCGTTGGTTTACTTAGTTTGACATCAGGCCATTCCCAATGCCCCGTTGGTTTACTTAGTTTGACATCAGGCCATTCCCAATGCCCCGTTGGTTTACTTAGTTTGACATCAGGCCATTCCCAATGCCCCGTTGGTTTACTTAGTTTGACATCAGGCCATTCCCAATGCCCCGTTGGTTTACTTAGTTTGACATCAGGCCATTCCCAATGCCCCGTTGGTTTACTTAGTTTGACATCAGGCCATTCCCAATGCCCCGTTGGTTTACTTAGTTTGACATCAGGCCATTCCCAATGCCCCGTTGGTTTACTTAGTTTGACATCAGGCCATTCCCAATGCCCCGTTGGTTTACTTAGTTTGACATCAGGCCATTCCCAATGCCCCGTTGGTTTACTTAGTTTGACATCAGGCCATTCCCAATGCCCCGTTGGTTTACTTAGTTTGACATCAGGCCATTCCCAATGCCCCGTTGGTTTACTTAGTTTGACATCAGGCCATTCCCAATGCCCCGTTGGTTTACTTAGTTTGACATCAGGCCATTCCCAATGCCCCGTTGGTTTACTTAGTTTGACATCAGGCCATTCCCAATGCCCCGTTGGTTTACTTAGTTTGACATCAGGCCATTCCCAATGCCCCGTTGGTTTACTTAGTTTGACATCAGGCCATTCCCAATGCCCCGTTGGTTTACTTAGTTTGACATCAGGCCATTCCCAATGCCCCGTTGGTTTACTTAGTTTGACATCAGGCCATTCCCAATGCCCCGTTGGTTTACTTAGTTTGACATCAGGCCATTCCCATCGTCCCATTGTTAAGTTGGGTTTACATCATGTTTTTTTTTTGATTCTGTCATTCTCAATGTTCTAAAGTATACTTAGTTCTCTAAGGATGTTATAATACAGGAATAAGGAATACATCCCACTCCACTTTTGTTTCTGTAGTGTCAGTAGTAGTAGTACAGTATAGTGTTAATAGGTTACAATAACACAAGAGCTGGCCGTCCTAGCCCTGTGTCAGCATCCTGTGTATCTCTGACACGGGGCGCCCTTAGCTCGCACCGTCCACCACACTACTTCACAATTACCCAGTTACAAAAATATATAGTTCTCCATTGAATTATCACGGTATCATTTATCAAAAATAGCAATATCTTTAAACAATATGTACTGATAACTTGTTTATGCGATTGTGATGTTGTCGCGAATGAAAATCCGTCGCATATTAGAATGATTTATTTTTTATTTTACGTTATTCTAATAAGTTGATATATTGCAGTTAACACTAATTGCTGAACAAAATGACAATCGATGACTATTTAAATTGTCTTGCTTCATCAAAACATTGTCATCCTACTTTCTGATTAGGATATCTTTATCTTGTCATCCTACTTTCTGATTAGAATGTCTATATCTTGTCATCCTACTTTCTGATTAGGATATCTATATCTTGCCATCCTACTTTCTGATTAGGATGTCTATATATTGTCATCCTACTTTCTGATTAGGATGTCTATATCTTGTCATCCTACTTTCTGTTTAGGATAACACAACTATTGTTGAATATCAAACTATATTGTAATTGTTTCCCGCGTAATTTACCACTGAATGTGTTCATTAGTTTTAAAGGCAGCATAACTTATCCACTGCGAAATGTATTCATTAGTCTTAAAGGCAGTATAACTTATCCACTGCGCAATGTGTTCATTAGTCTTAAAGGCAGCATAACTTATCCACTGCGGAATGTGTTCATTAGTCTTAAAGGCAGCATAACGTATCCACTGCGGAATGTGTTCATTAGTCTTAAATGTTGTTAAAAAATAAATTGGTTTAATTTCAGCATAACTTATCCACCAATGAATTAGTCTTAAACATTTTTTTTCAATATCAAATAATACTCTACTATTGCAGCATAACTTATACACAACTCGGTGGTTCATAAGTCTACAGGTCGTTGGCTGTCTGGCACATCCTTGTGTATTACAATCTGGTATACCACCCACCACTTACCACCAGTAATAACATGTTACAAACAATCTGTTATACAACCCACCACTTACCACCAGTAATAACATGTTACAAACATTCTGTTTTACCACCCACCACTTACCACCAGTAATAGCATGTTACAAACAATCTGTTATACCACCCACCACTTACCACCACTAATAACATGTTACAAACAATCTGTTATACCACCCACCACTTACCGCCAGTAATAACATGTTACAAACAATCTGTTATACCACCCACCACTTACAACTAGTAATAACATGTTACAAACAATCTGTTATACCACCCACCACTTACCATCAGTAATAACATGTTACAAACAATTTGTTATACCACCCACCGCTTACCACCAGTAATAACATGTTACAAACAATCTGTTATACCACCCACCACTTACCACCAGTGATAACATGTGACAAACAATCCGTTATACGACCCACCACTTACCACCAGTGATAACATGTTACAAACAATCTGTTATACCACCCACCACTTACCACCAGTAATAACATGTTACAAACAATCTGTTATACCA